AACACTTGCAAACATTAAAAGAAAAGTGCTATTAAAGTGTATCACCTTATGCTAATATATGCAAGGTTTAAAAGCAAAGATTGTGTGAGGGTTTTTTAAAGTGCATATACATCTATTTATATCTCTTGGATAAACACATAATTGAGAAATTACATTCTTTGCTTAATTGGAAAGTAAAACTAGACAGAATTTCTTTATCTGCATTTAATGAGGTCATTTCTCTAATGAGATGATGTCTGCTATCAGAGTTTAATATTTCCTGCCCTTTCCATTCTGCCTCCCACAAAATTACAGGTTCCAGAGAGGCAGTGTGTGTGCGGTGGGGATATACATTCATACACAGATTTCTTGCATAACTTTGGAGGTACTCCTTATCAAGAGACACACATTCTAAATTCCTTAGCAAAAATTAAGCCTGATAAGAAAACACAGCCTTTTGCAAATGTGTAGAAAAGTTGCATATGCTAAGGAGTATCATTACAAAATGCTGATTTCAGTGCAAAGTCTAAACTATCAGATTACTTCTCTTATGCATGTTGAACTAGTTTTTTTCACTCTTAACATTTCAGCAAGCATGCCTTCTTTCACTGTACTATAATCTATCATTCTGAATATTTTATGTCAGAAAAACTATTTTTAACCATAGAGTTGAAAGAAGCCAGCTAAGACAATCCCCTGTTTAGGGTTGGAATCCAAATTAAACCATCCTAGACAGATTGTCACCTAGCCTCTGATTGAGCCGATCCAATAAAAGGGAGACTATCCTCTTTAGGTAAACGATTTCACTGTGAACTGCTTCTATTTTAGGAAAGTTTTTTTTGTAGCATTCAATGAAAATCTATTTCCCCTTACCACAGATCTATTATTCTATGTCCTGCACTCCAGAATGAGAGAGAACGGATTCTGGTTATCTTCTTCCTAAGCTTCCTGAGATCATCATTTTATACAAATCTCATTTAGCATAACTAAATGTAATGTGCAGAAACTTTGCACTAAGTTCAGATACATAAAAGTAAAAAGCAACCTACTCTCGAAGGATCAAGTTGGGTTAAAGAACTGCAATTAAAACATAAAAGTAACGGTTTTCCCTGTTGAGTTTTGTCCTACTCTAAGGGGTGTTGCTCATCTCTGTTCATAGCCGAGGGAGCCAGTGTTATCTGAAGACACTCCCATGGTCACATGGCTGGCATGACTATATGCTGAGGTGCCCAGAACACTGGTATATTCCCAAAGAAGTGATTCCTAATTACCTACTTGTATGTGCATGCTTTCGAACTGCTAGGTGGGCAGAAGAAATAGGCTCTGTTGCACGATGTTTGGGACTCAAACCCAGGCTGTCAGCTTTCATTTCAAAATAATTGTTTCATATATTTTAATGTACCAAGACTTGTATACTGAAAACATTTCTGTACAGCATAATTGTAAATGACGTCCTTTACTACATACAATCTCTGTTTTTAGAATTTGTACAAAATATTAAATTACCAAGCAGTTAATGAACAGAAGCTAAGAGGACACAATTATTTCAAAACCTTTCCTACAGATAAAATACAGGCTAGGCTAGGGGGAGGTAAAGGATTAACATTTATAATGAGCCTAGCCACGTTAGGAACTAAAACCCAGAAGGTTGCCACATACGATCCCCTAAAATGTACTAATATTTTAGCCAGTACAGTGCTGTGATTAAAAAAAAACACTGAACAAATATACTGTAAGAATCAGTTCTCGGTATTTGTAAAAGCAATATAAAATTTTGATGTCTTTGGAAGAAACAGAAACTGATTCCTATCCTAACTTAGAACTGCAAAACTCTTTAAGGTAGTTCACCAGAAAATATGGATGCATTATATATAAATTGTTAGATAAGCAATATACATACATGGAGCTTAAATGTTTAATCCCAACCCTACAAAGTAGATTATTTGCCCTCATCATATGACTATTAAAAGACTTTAGCCACAGTTGCTAAATTTGACTTATGAATCAGTCTCTTACTTCAAGAAATTCAGCTTAGATCTTATCAAAATTGACACTGGGGAAATACACAGGACAGAAATGCTGGGAAACTAAAAACACAGCAAAAACACCAGGAACAATCTTTGATATCAGAAAACAAGAGGGAGCAGAACTGCAAACATCTTTTACTTGTATGCATACAATACAATGGGAGTTACTTCTGTTAGGACTGTGGCCTTAAATATATGGTTGTGTAAACAATGGGATTATTCGGCTCTGGGTTCAATAATTATGACTTGCCACTGAAGGAGAGTGACTAGGGCAACCAACTGGCCTCTGCTTTCACTCAGAAGCAGAATGGATTCTTTGTGTGACTGTAAAACACAGAAATAGACACTATCTTGGCATATCCAAGCTATTTAGATTCCAGAGTACAATACAATGACCTGATACACTGACTATACATGAAATTGGCCACTGGAATGTGTATTCCATTGTTTCTAATGTTCAGCCACCATTCACTATTCAGCGTCCCCATCATTATGTTTAATACATATTTCACAGTAGCCAAATAAGTTTGCTCTCAAGGGTACGTTGAACAAGAGAACATCAGTCAAACCTGACTCACAGAAAAGTTGAAATACCAATGGATTTTTCATTTTATTAGCTATATCAGATAAATATATTTCAAGCCCTGTCAAATAAACTTACATTTGAACTAAGACAACAAAAGTATTCCCAAATTTTCTTTACTCTATCTACTCTATCTATCTATCTATCTATCTATCTATCTATCTATCTATCTATCTATCTATCTATCTATCTATCCCTCCCTCCCTCCCTCCCTCCCTCCCTCCCTCCCTCCCTCCTTCTATCTAATCTCTCCATCCATCCATGTCCCATTTTTCCTTCCTGGGAGTGGGGAGGAAGGGAGTCAAAGCAGTGGTCACTGGAAACAAGGCTTTTTCTGTCGGTGTGTCCAAAATCAGAAACTCCCTCATTCCTCAGCACATTTGCCAAGAACCATCGCCCAGTTCCCAAAATGTATTTATAGGTTCTATTGCTGATTTCTACCTCTCTAGTCCTTCATGTAAAAAGTATAATGGAGTCATAAAAATGGTTCTTCCTTCCTTCTTTCTTCTTGAGATACTTCCCTTTGTTCCAGATCATTCTTATCTGTCCAACATTTCATAGAGAGCAACCACAGTTCTCGCTGCTTTGATTGGAATGCACCTATCTATCCTGAGATAATTTACTTCGGTGTTTATTACAGATAGGCTTTGATTTATAACCATTCATTTAGTGACTGTTCAAAGTTACAGGGACACTTTAAAAAGTGGCCTATGGCCATTTTCTCACACTTAGAACCATTGTGGCCTCCCATGTTAGTCTAGTGAAGAGAAGGACCAGGAGAGACATAATAGCGGTCTTCCTATATTTGAGGGGCTGCCACAGGGAGGAAGGGGTCAAGCTATTTTCTAAAGCGCCTGTGGCCAGACAAGGAATAATGGATGGAAACTGAACAAGAAGAGATTTAGCCTGGAAATAAGGAGAAACTTTCTGACAGTGAGAACAATCAACCAATGGAACAGCTTTCCCTCGGAAGTTGTGGGAGCGCCATCAGTTGAGACTTTCAAGAAGAGAGTGGACTGCCATTTGTCAGAAATGGTGTAGGGTCTCCCGCTTGGGCGGGGGGGTTGGACTAGATGATCTACAAGGTCCCTTCCAACTCTGATAATCTGTTAAATGTTGCAGCGTTCTGGTGTCACATGATCACCTTTTCCACCGTTCTGAAAAGCAAAGTCATTTGGGGAGCCAGATTCATTTAACTGTGGCAAGGGAAGTCCTAACATGGGGCAAAACTCACTTAACTGTCTCGCTTAGCAACCAAAATGTTGGGATGAATTGTGGTTGTAAGTCAAAGACAACCTGTACTTCCACATTTAATGCAAGATCAAACTGTGCTCTCCTGCTAATTTGAGATTCACTTCCTGTAGGAAGTTCTCCTTTAGCTGCTCACTTATATAAGCATCAGATATAATCAGCTAACTTTATTTCCTTCTCCTCTTTCACGAGACTCATTCCGTTCTTCCTGGGAAAAACAGTTCATAAGAATTGCAATCTAATTCAAAGAATTTTTTTAGCTTAATATAACATGTTTCATGTAAAGAAGAGCTAGACTCATTTCACACAAAGACAGCCAGATGTTTTTTCTTCTTTGCCTAAGGAAGCAGTGTATCTATCTGGTTGGTAAACAGCACTTAAAAACAGCAGCTTCTTCCATTTGGGCAAGAGTTGAAAACACAAAGGGGCCAAGAGGCTCCTTCTTGATCCAACTTCAGCTGACTGGATCTGAAGGGCAGAATCAGAGATGTTACCTCTGGCATGAAAGCCGGCTGTGTCACTTTGGGCCAGTCCCTCCCTCTCAGCCCAACCCGCCACGAAGGTTGTTATTGTGGGGGGAAAGGGAAGGAGATAGAACTACCCCATTGAGTTACTTGTGAAAAAGTGATAACAACAGGATAAAAATCTAATAACAAAAATAAAAGATGCTTTTCAATGGAGCTTTTTAAAAAACAACAACTAGATAGCCATGAATAATTTTAAAACTTAGATTAAGGCTCTATTTCTTAATATGCTAACTAAGATAATAAAATTACATTTTTTTCATGTAATTGTGCTAATGTTTTTATTTTGACATTTAACTATCACTATTGTGCACCTACTCCTTCATGATAAAGTTCAGCAAACAAAATTCAAATGCTGCAAAGGAGGTGAGGATGATATTTAAGTTATAAGGCATGATCCAAAGATTAAATTGAAGGCGTTTCTATTGACAAATCACGTGCTGTGAAAAATGTGGGGGGAGGGATAGCACCTTTCTATTTAATCTTGTGTACTGAAACAAAATAAAATAAGATGGAACCCACTGCATTTTATACAAGCCAGCACTAAGTGTAATTACAGCAAAAACAAAACAAAAAATAGCACACATTTGACATAAAGAAGCTCACTAAAGGCTGTAGCACTAATTAAATGCTTACCTTTTCTCTGAATAAAAATCCGAAGCAAAGGATTAGCAGTAGAGACTGCTTTGTGGTAGTTGTCATCATTATTAATTGGTAGGAGATCTCCGTGAATGTCTGTATATCCAACTAAGACCTCAACATTGGGTATTTTGTGAACATGCTGAAGTAATCCATAGAATTCCTCAAATCTGCCAGGCTTTGATCTTTCCAAAGAAAAACGTCGGAACTCTGCACCAAACTATAAGAACCAGAAAACATTAGTCACACTCAGACAACAGGAAATGTATCAGAATACTTTATCACTGTCTAATTGTCAAATACAGGGTGGGGATTGCACCCAAGATAAGAAAATGAAAATTGTTTCCAATCATTTTTGAAATGTCTATCTAGCTTTGCATTATAGTACCATTCTCATTCACTGATGTTATGTTCCCTCTTTTATCCTTCTGTGGTCTCTACATCCCAAAACACTTCATATGTGGTATATAGTGAATTCCCACTTATCACGATGCAATAGAATATATGTAGCTCAGGGTTGAACTGTGAAGTCCTTGATGTCAAGTGTGGTTGTTTGCTTGCAGATGTTTCATTACTTCATGAAATAATATCATCATGAAACATCTGCAAACAAACAACCAGGCACAGAGAGCATCAAGGGCTTCTCTTATCGTGACTGTTTACACAAGAATACCCTACAAGATCAGAAATATGGGCTGAATAATTTTCCATTTCAGGCAAATTTGTGACTCACAAGTGATTGAGCTAAAATCTGAGAAGCTAAAAACACACTGAAACTGCATATAATTTATTTAACTTTTAAAAAATCTAGCCTAACCACAATGACTCTGGGCAGTGTACAATAATGAAATATAAATTTTATTATCAATAATGAAAATAAAGCACAAAACAAAAAAAGTTCCCATACGCCTTTAAAACAGACCCACACATTAAAGGAAAAGTAATACACAAACACAACATGCCCAGAATCCCATTGAAATAAGATGGGGAAACTGCCAATCAAACATGGCAAAACAGGGCAACTGTTTCCACATTATATTGGAGGGAGGAAAAACATCCAGAAGGACCAAGAAGGAGGGCCTTTTCTGTGGTGGCTCCATTCTTGTGAAACATCATCCGCATGAAGATGGTGTTTGGTCCCCATTCTGACACTCTTTCACAAGGCTCTGAAGACCTGGTTTTGCCAGCAGGCCTAGGGAACCCAGAAAGGGATGGAACTCATCAAGTCGTTTATTTGAGTGTTGTTGCCAGGGGGTGGGGTGAGGTTATTACTTTATATTATTTTTATATTGGGTTTTTATTTTTGTAAGCTGCCAAGTCACTAGGAGTAAGAAAATATACATTTTTGTCAAATAAATAAATAAATGTCAAGCCACTGGTGTTCCCCAGTCTCACTAGCCCCAAGCTTCTTGACATTCATACAAGATCTGACACACGATATTCAATAACTTGAAAAGCAGTAATTATGGCACAGCAAACAAATGCATCCATACATTTGTATTTTTCTCTTTCCAAAACACAAACCCACAAATGAGTTCTCTATTCAACACAATCTGGCTATTCAATAAGTATGCACAGGATTACACAGTAAATCTTCTAAGCCGTTTCCCCTTTTCAGGTTCCACTGCAATTGAATTTTATATCCTCTTCTGTTACAAAATGCTCCTCCATGTTCTTGCTCGCTCACTTCATAGTCTGAAATTTATTTTGAAAGGAAATACCAAAGTAGTTCTCTACATCCTTCTAAATCATTACCTTCCTAGCTTTGGAGGCTATTATTTAATAAGGAATGTAGTAACAACATTTTACACCTGAATGGACAGGATGCTGGATTTTTTTGGTTCATGCATGTCACCTACACAATTATTTAAGCCTGTATATCAGGTATACAAGTAGAAGAGGAAATTATAAATATAAGTTTCCTTTTCCAATAGTAGCACCTGTGGATATTCCATATGCTTCACTCTGTACACTTCACAATGCCTTTGACAGAAATAGCAGCAGAGAAAAGATTCAAATGATATTGTCTACATTTAAGTTCAATCAATTGAGAAACCCTAAAGATAAAAGATGTTTTTCCAGCTCTACTGACAGCATCAATTAAAGCAATTGGTCATTACCTTCTTCCAGGGTATTTTTTCAACTTTTTCTCTGTCTAGCCTAGCAAGGTTTAAAAACATATCAAGATAACATGCTAAACCTTTAAAACCAAAGTAGTCAAAATGCAGAAAACCAAGCAAAATACAAACCAACTGCCCTCACCTATCAAAATCTAACAGAAATTATAATGAGCCAAAGTAACAGAAATTAATAGTTTTAGCAGTAGGAAATTTTTATATATGCATGTTTGATCAGTTTTTAAACTGAAGTTCAAGTATATGTGCATTTCAAAGAACATTTCAACTTGCCTGGCCTAAATTTTTAAGAAACTTGATACATTTCCAACTTCACTGAGGCCCGAATTTAGTTTAAATTTTATAGAGGCTTATATGCAGACTTGCTGCTGGAGATTTTTGCCTTAATCTTCAAGACATTCCTGACCACCTTGATTTTACAAAACCATTTTACATAGTCAAAGGCAACAAGCATTAATGGGGATCTACGAATTTTTAATGTTGATCGGTAGAGAGATTTAAACTCTAGCCCTTCCTTGTTTAGAACAGACTTATTTTCCGTAGTTATTTTCTTGTCCAACTCACAGAAAGCCTTCACTTGCTAGGTTTGATGAAGCTGGAAAGGAGTTTAAAAGCACTCCAATTTGTCTGCCTCTCTGACCTGATGAAGTAGAATTAGTGTCATATCTGCTTCTTTCTCTCCTTTAGGACCTGGCCAAGCTTTTAATAAAGATTCTGTCAATCAACAATGATGGAGCTCAACAACAGGATAGCAATCAAAACAATATAACCAAAATCCATATACAGGTAGTCCTCAACCAACATTCATTCATTTAGTGACTGCAGTTACAACAGCACTGAAAAAAATGACTTATGACTGTTTTTCACACAATTCCTACAGCATCGCCATGGTCAGGAGATCAAAATTTGAACACTTGGCAACTGGCATGTATTTATGATGGCTGCAGTGTCCTTTCATAAGCAAAATGAATAAGGAAGCCAGATTCACTAATCAATCATGTTACTAATTTAATTGCAGTGATTCACTTAACAATTGAGGCAAGAAAGATCATAAAATGGGCCCAAATTCACTTAATTGTCTTGCTTGGCAATGGAAATTTGGGGCTGAATTGTGGTTGTAAGTTGAGGACTACCCGTAACAGCTATACTAAACAAAATTTCACAGATAGGCTCAACCAATTTCCAGAAACCGGGACCTAAGAGAACATCCAGGTTTACAAAGATATACAAAATGATCAGGATTATGGTCAGGTGAATCTTAAGGGACATGGTGTTTCAAAGGACAGGCACAATGACAGAGAAGACAAGCTTCCTAGTCCCACCAGATGGTATTGCTTAATAGATGGGACTTGGCGCTTGCCAGAGTTAGTGAGATAGACAGAGATAATCAGAGAAGGAGGTTCCACAAATAGCCCTGCCTCATGAAGGTCTTTATAGGTGGTAACTGTTGCCTTGAAGCCAATTTGGGGGATCAGGGGACCAATGGTACAACAGAGCATACTGAGGAGCACTCATAAACGTCTACATTACTACATATTGGGTCAATTGAAGCTTCTAAGTGCTCTTCAAGGGCACTTTGGTGTAGACCACACTGCAATTAGATGATCAAGGCATTAGCAAATATGAATGGCTCTTCCTAATTCAGGAAAGGGTAGGGTTCATAATTTTAGCAGTCAATAATATAATGATGTACTTAGAGCTAGTTGTGAAAAGAGTTATCACATATAGATGAACTGATCAAAAAAATAAAAAATCATCCCTGTGAAGTCTTTATTAGGTTTATATATCACCTTTGTTTAACCCAGAATACCTCCTGCCTTCTATTTTCACCACAATAATCCTATAAGGTTGACTAGTCTGCAAGAGATCAACCTCAATACTCCACCTTGGTTGTAAAGCATTTATATAAATTGCCTTAATTTCAAACGATCTTGCTTCCTTGTAAACATCTTAATTGTTTGTAAGCTGTCTAGAACTGCTATGGGCAAGTAAGCAACTATATAAATTTTCTAACTCAATAAAATCCTATACAGTATATTAAGTTTATATTATACAATAATCAAGCTAAACAGATGTGTTGTGTTGTCATACTTGTGTATCTATTTTTTTTAAAAAACTGCATGAGTAACTTCTACCATATTGGTAGAATTATAGGCTGTTTCCAGATATTTACTCTGCAACATTTATGTTTTGTTCCCTCACTTTTCCATGATCCAATCCAAGCCAATCTTGTTCAATATTAGTATTTTTATTCAGTGTGTACTTATATCAAAGTAACAGAAGAGACTTATTTTTGTCCTATAACAGCAATAATCTTGTATGATATAAAAAGTGGATTAAGAGAAAGCGATTGGTGCAAAGTCATCGAGCCTTCCAGAAAGAGCGAAAAACTAGATCTGAGACCTTAACCATTGACACACATTGGCTTTCCATTGTCCACTTATTTGTTTGAGATTTGATACTTTTTCCACAGGCCGGGAAATCTGATTTTTTTAGTAAAGAAATCTGAGTCGGCATTTATTATTACTCTTCCATCTTTGTTAGAATGCTATGGAAGATTGCTCCTTTAGCTTATCGCTTTTCTTCTTGCATGCCATTTCATTTCCCTCCATGCTGTTTTATATCTTTGTGTATTTCTTGTATTTATAAAATAATTACACACATAATTTTTCTGCTTTGTTTTACTTTATTCTATAACTATTTTTGCATCTATTTTTTATTAAGCTTCATTACAGATCATTAACAGATATATACTTAAGAGGGTAATAGAGATTTAAATCTCTTCTCCTGACCACATCATCATGCCATAGTTAAAAGATCAAGGATCAGATGAAAAATGAAAGGGAAAGGGAAAAATATGATATTTCTAGGCTCCACGCTTGTTCAGGATAAAAGGTTGTCTTAAGTCTGTCCCACACCTTCAGGATTGTTCAGTTTCCCAAGTTAACTTTGTAAGTATAAAAATATTTATAGAGCTAGATAGCCTCTCAAAGTGCAAGTACTGTTGAAGATGCTGTCATGAAATAATTGTACTTGCTACACAGGAATATAACACGGATGGAACATATTCACCTTGACTGGTGCCAGTCAGTTTTTCCCAATTTGGATTATTCATGTACAGTGAATTCCTGGACTGTACAAAATTCAATGTATGCATGTACAAAAAATATCCCCAATTCTCTGCTTTATTATCCTTTTGTATCATTCTATAAATATTTTCTCATCTATTTTCATCAAGCTTCACTACAGATCATTAACAGTTGTATATTCATTAGGAAAAGATAAACAAACATTTAATACTCACTAGCTTTTGTTATTCATCATAAAAGAAATAAACATAGGCTTAAGAAAGTTTGATTTCATGCCATATTTTCTGTATGCAACAGTGTATGTTCAAAAGAAACATGAAAGTCGCAATACACTTGAAATATTGTTACTCAGATACAGCTTGGAATGTATTTATTTCATTTTCCGAAAGCTTTGAACTAGCAGTTTAGAAATGCAGCCAATCTATAAAATACATATACTATTGGGTTATGGTGATCAGTGCAAGCAAATTAATTGTCTTAGTAAAAAGAAAGTTAAAAAGAATATAGGAAATACAATACAGAGAAGCTAGACTAGGAATGGATTAATATTTTAAAGGAGTGGTAAACCTTACTACATAAATAGGGAAGAGAACAAGAATATGTGGATTGTCTTTCTCATTAAATCTAAAATCCTGGATGCGAGGTTAAAATGTGTTTTAAGGATCACATTTGTTGCTTATCTAAGATTTCAGCAATCTTCAATAAAAGGATTTAAACTATAACTTATAGCAATTACTGTCAAAACATAGTTTATTCCTCAGTGCTTAACAGCAATGCCAAAACACTTCACCCACTCCACTAATAGCTAACACAAAAGTAAATGAATGATAAAATGTTCTCTCCTAGTCAGACTATAGTATGACACATCCTGTTACTCAAAATGTCATGTGTATCACAGCGTACCACTTTAATTTGTGGCATGGCTACACAAATAATACAAGGGCAGCTTAATCTATAGAAAAGTATAATGTACTTGGGTGTGTACAAGAACACAAAAGTTTAGAAATCACCTCAGGGTAGCTATTTTGTACAGATACAATTAGCTTATAGTTAGTAAATGACAGGGCCACTGAGTATTCCAAAATCCCCTAAAATGGAAATTAGCCTATGTGTTTTTCAAAAATAATCCACTGTAAAATTCTATTACATCAGTTTTGTTCACTTTTAATATCAGAACTCAAACACCTAGGTGTGCACAATTTCAAAAACGCTTGCCGAGTTAATGTCAAAGCTATAGCTAAATTAACATGGCTAAAGGAAACAGAAGTCTCAAAATGGCATCCCTTATACCCTTTTTGATAAGAGATTCTACAAGTTTGTAAAATGAGATCTGATCTGCAACCAGATTAAAAATGTTTAAAGTAAAAAAAAAAATCAAGACACTGAGGACCACTTCTGAATAATGTAGTACATCACATCTTTTAAAATGTCATCTAAGGTTGTATGGCACACTGCAGAATCTGTGGATTTAACGGCTATGTCTGGAAATGGATATGATGACTAATCATTGCTTCCTCAGGTAAGACAGATAATTGATTAGAAACAAGAATACTCTCCCCCCCCCAAAAAAAAATAGCAAAAGGAAGGAATTCTAATACAATTACTGAGATTCTTCTGTTTGGGCAAAACTAGTTATTACAGCATGGAACAAATATGCTGTGCATAGAGGGGAACGCAAACTGTGGCAAAGAGGTAATACTTACACATAACCACACCCTATTAGTTGATACCAATCATGAGTATTGGTCTACCTCTCCTACTTCTATAATCATCCATGCTCTTTTTAAAGCTTTTTACTGTGTCTTTACACACACACACACTATAAAGACAAGAGCATTTTCCTGTACAAAACAAAATGTTTAATAACTTAACTCAGAAGAATTAAGTCAACTTCTAATGAATTCCTACAGTGCAATTGTTGCAACTACTCATTTAAAGTACTTTTTAAAAAAATGAAGTTCCATTCTGCTGACCCAATCCTTACCCTACACATCTTCCGACTGACACTTAATCCCATATGAATGTCACCTAACATGTTAAAAGGAGGGGGTAGGTTTTAGTGACAAAAAAAATGAGATGAGTTTGTTTGGGGTGGGCAATTTATCATCAAACCATGCAGGTAACACACATAGAATGTTGTTTGTTCTTAGTATATAATCACATCCTAACCCTAATCTGATTTTTTTTTTAAAAAAGGAAAGACGTCGAAATTCAAGGTTAGCTGTGAACTGTACTCACCCTCTCTGATCGAAGATATTTCCTTACACCTTATAGCAGGTACAATGCGAGGGCGAGTAGGCGGGTGGGATTATTAAGTCCTCAATAGAAATGCCCTCTTCACATGGTCAGGAACACATTTCTGCCTTCCCCCCTCCCGCTACAAAAAGGTAAGAAAAGCCAAAACGAAACCCTTCCTACCACCTACCCGAAACAAGACACCCGCCTCTTTGCAATGCTCTCTTCCCTCCTTTAACTACATTTTTTTTTAAAAAATCGGGCTTTTGCGGGGTGGGTTGGGGTGAATTCTTTCCCGCTCCCCCCACAGCCACTGAAGCCACCCACCAGGAAGCCTATTCCTGCTCCCATTCCCCTTGGCGGACGCCACCCACCTTGCTCTTCACTTCCATAGTGCCGAGGCCGCGGCTTCCCCCACTACCAGCGCCTCCTCCACCTCGTTGGACCCGGTTCATGCCACGCGGGAACTCGAAGGTCGGCTCGGCGGGGCGAAGCGAAAGGGGAGGGGGGGGGAGCGCGGCAGCGGCTCGCACCTCGGCCTCCTTCCACTAAAGCCGCCGCCTCCTCCCGCCTGGCTCTGCGGAATAGCCGACGCGAGCTCGCCTGCCCGGGAGCTAAAGCAGAGGGGGCGTGCGTACGTGCGTGCGTGCGTCTCTCTGCCGGCCGGGCTGTTTAGCGCTGCCACCTGCACCTCCAAGAGGAGGGGGAATCGGGATTGCGGGTGGGTGAGACGGAGAGCAAAGGCACGCATGCGTGCGCGGGGTCCATCCGCGGGACGGGGGGGGGGCGGAGAGCGCCGCACCTGCGAGCCCTAACGCGCCTGCGCGCTTGCTTCTGCGGGAGAAAGGAAAAAGAGACGATACACCTGCTAGAGCAGGGCCAAAGGGTGGGGCTGGGGGGACTGACCAATGCGCTTGCGCCCGGCGGAAAGGTGAAATACCTGCTGGCCTGGATTCCAAAGAAGGTATTAGAAGAGGGCGCATGCGCGTTTGGTTTACGCCGTAGACTATTAATTGGGGGAAAGAGATCGGGAAATTCTGTCCGCAAGTGGGGGTTGCAGGTGGAAGCGCAAGTTTCAGAACAAGAAGCCTCTGTATAATTCCTCTTTTTGTACTTTTTTTCCCCCCGACGGCCAGCAAGGAATACACGATTTTTCTCGTTAGTTTTATTCTCCAACAACTCCCTAGGAACTTCTTAGCTAAAGAAATATTAGTCCAGAAGCCTTGATCCTAAGGAGGCCCATAGCCCAATCCTGATCAGATAGAGAAAACAGACAGGGTGGAACATTAGGATGCAGACTCCAAGATTTGTTGTGTTCAGCTATGCAGTAGTTGTGTGGTCGGTGTGGGTTGAATAAACACAATGGGCCCAATTTATCATCGTGCTTGGCCTCATTTTAGCCAAGGGTGATACCTGAATCCAGGTGAAAGAGTCACACAACCAAAATGCGGCTTTTGCCTGAAAAAAGGATCCCAATCAAGGCAAAAAAATCATGTAGACATTGTGCTGTGGAATGAAGATAAGTCATGGCAAAACCAGAAATGCTGGGAGATCATATGGAAGATTTATAGAAGAATAGGAAAGTTGTGGAAAATCATCACTGGATAAATAATGAATTATAGGCACAAACTACTGGCTGTTTGCTCATAATAAAACATTTTCTTTCAAACTGAGGCTGTTGTAAGAAGGTCTATGAATATTTGCATACTAGGCATTGGGTATCATACTTGGAAAGCATATAAGCTTTTGAGATTTCAAAGTGTCTAGATTAGGAAGGGCATTGCAGAAGGCATACAGTTGAAGAGATTAAAATGAAAATGATATTAAAATCCTAAAATTCATTAATTTCAAAATGGCTTTGAACTAAAATTGCAAATACCAAAATAATGTAATAATTAGCATGTATAGATTATTATTGTTTTCTATTATACTGCTTTAAAATTTTTCAGTTGTACCTAAAAAGATCAGGACCAGGAAAATAATAATCAAACTGTCTACCATGGACCTCACCCTATTCTTAAGAGATCCTTAAAGGGGGCGTGCAGAAGCGCACCAGCATGCCTACCATCCCTGTCTTACTGTCCCCATTTATCTGTATTTACTTCCCTCGTTCTTTTTTATGTTCATACTTATACTTGTTATCTTGTATGTTTGACAAACAAACAAATAAGTGCCTACTAATCTACAAATATCTTTTATATCTTAATTTTTGAATAATTTATTTTTGTATAATAAACCTTTTTTATCTTATTGCATTAATATTCCTTTTGATTTGGACCCCTGTGTCTAGCTGTGCTTGATGTTTATGCAATGGTATATTTTATTTTTTTATAGACATTTTTCTGGTTAAAATATATTCATTTAACAAAGTGATACAGTTAGGTATGAATCAATTACAGGGTTCAATGAATCAATTACAGTGTCCAGTATTTAGCTCATATTCTACCGCAATGAAGTATAGCAGATTAAAGCTTTAAAAAGTGAAAATGAAGGCCTTCCTTTCATGAACTCTTATGAAGTCATTGTATGAATAAATTTCAGTCTGTTACATCAAGTGTATAGAAGCTAATATATCTCATAAACCTTTTAGTTTAGAAGCTCCTTGTTTATTTATACACCTCCCCCCCACACACACATAGGTACATATATTGTTAAAAATACAAAAAACAAACCATAACTATAAATAGATCAGGCTACTTTGTATTCAGGATTATCATGCTAAAGCAGTGGTTGTCAACCTGGTCCCTACCGCCTACTAGTGGGCGTTCCAGCTTTTATGGTGGGGGGTAGGGGTTTTGTCCCCTACTTTATAAATCACCATTACTGTGGATCTGGTGGGCAGTTAGAGAAAATTTTACTACTAACAGAGATACAAAAGTGGGTGGTAGGTATAAAAAGGTTGACTATCCCTATGCTAAAGTAATATACTGAGTTTCATAGAATAAGTGACAGACAAATGAGCTTTATAAAGGAATGTGTAAAATTGAATCTGGATATTATTGGCTACAGGACGTACCCAGAAGTTCTAATAGTAATAGATACTACTCAATATTTTGCAACTTTCCTAGATATTTTAATAATTTAAATAGCTGTTCTATAATAGCTGGTTGGGCTTGATTTTACTTTTTTTCTGAAAGGTGGCACAATACACTTAAAATGTTGAATCAAAACCAGAGGGCATCATTAATGAATTTGATTTCCATATTCAAACAAATACAAAAATGACCCTTTCCCATGATCACATTTGCGGGAAAGAGCTTTGATTCAAGCTAATATAAATGCCTTGTTCTGTGGAACAGGAAGGCTATTACAAAAATATCTAGGTATTTACCATAAGTAATACTGTAAAATTAGCTGGCCTCCCACTTTGTTATTCATGTAATTCTCTGTTTCACTGGGATAGCTAAAATCCCAATCAAACTAGTCAGACTAGTTTGGGAAAGTGAGAAGTCACTATTATCCTTCTGCTTCTTCCCAGGGAGAGAAGAGACAGGTATACTCTGGCTCACACCATCCCTTATTACAGTCCATCAAAATCCATAGTCAGTAATGATCACCAGTCTTGAACGCAGCCATAACCCATTCTTTAGAGCAACCAGAGGTCCAGAGCAATGGAAAATTTGAATAAATGGTATACATTGCAGTCCTTCTAGGTCCAACTGTAGAATGCGCAATATATAATTGTCATTCCCAGCATGTTAGGCTATATGATAGCTGTAAGATTTAGATTGGCTCTCCAGCCAATGGTCCACTTCTTCATTGATACCAAGCATCACCTCCCAAGTGCCCACACCTTTCAAAATGTTACGGGCTGGTGCCCAGGATCAGACACTCTAGGAGAAAAGAAACCAAGTCAGACAGATATGCCACTGAGGAAATAATGTAGGTAGTGCTCTTATTAATGTAGGTAGTGCTCCATTATCAGCGCAGAACTGTTGAATCCTTATCAGCTGAGCAATGGCAACTTCTACCCAGTAGTTTGAATTGCCAAATAGGTAATTGGTTGTATTTTTGTTACCACAGCTCCACAACTTGATTGCTGTTGGATCTGACAATCTTGCCCAAAATCAGAGAAGAGTTGCCCAAGAGTTTCTTGCCACATTGCCTGAATGATCTCTTTTGCTAGCAACCTTCACTGCTGATATGGCCATCAAGTTTTCCTACTTAATACTTCATTTAATACTTCCTCACCTGCCCAGGCCATCCACAACATGTTTATTTCAAACATTTAGTGCCATTTTGCTAGTTTTATTCATTTATGTGAAATCTGGGATTTAAATCTGAATTTCCTTTGAACTGTGGGGTTTAAATAGGTCATATCTAACTTACATTTTATTTATTTCAATAGATCAGCTGAAGTGTAATTAAATATGGACTCAACTTTATGGTATTGCTAAATTTGATAAATAATAATTAAAAATAATGTTGAACAATTTATGCTATTAAAAAGGTACAATTTTTAAAAGTATCATAACATATGTCATTCTAAACCAAAGCAAACATAACAGATTATGGTTACGTTGTGTTCATATGAGTTAAGTCATAGAATCTTTGCTTCCTTTTAGTTTGGTCATTTCTGCTTCATCAACCCTGGTTGATGGTTTCACATGTTGTGTGAGTATCTAGACTAGAATTACCCCTCTAAAAGATAATGTAGACTGGCTAACAGGTTTATTTCAGCATAATTTTGGGGAGTGAAGACCACTTTCTTAAAAGCAAGAAGAACAAACTTGAATATGATAAATTTATGCTAGCTTGCAAAATAGTCTCTAGGTTAGAAGTACTTGGTTTGCATAAAATAGAGTGAATGTGCTTGGGGTAAAGCTGAACTTTGGCTGTACTTGGCTGTACTTTTAAAATGTGCCCAGACTGACTAGTACTGTTACTATAATTTCCTGTTAGCAAAGGATATTGCTAGTGGCATGACTATGGGTAAAGTTGACACGCTGGTATACTGTCAAAGCCTTAATTGACCAAAACCATGATGATCAGTGGAGCTCTATATTCATGAAACCATCAGTTGATGGACCATGGCTAATGATCCTTTTATATGTCAAGTTGCAAAGGAAGAAACATTTGAGTTAGGTTTCAAAGAATTGTGTAGTTAAAATTCTTTTTCACGTGGCCAAAAGTGTATACCAATGGTCACCTGTCTCTTGTAAAGTAAACAAATGAATTTCTGGAGGGATGGAATAAAAATATCAAGTTTACTCAACATTGTTGGACAATCATTAGAAATTATGTTTTAAAGAAAGAGCTGTGATTCTTTGCATCCAGATTTTGGAGTAAATTGCTTTATAGAATTCAAAGAGGTCCATTTTTGAGCATATCTGCATTTAAATACATTTATGAAATAAATTTCATCATAATTACCTGCATTTAGGATTCTGTATGTACAGGATACAGAGAGTTCAGAATATTTCAGTTCAACTGCTTTGTGATTATCCATTTCAGGATTCTTGCCTTGTGGAAATCACCTGCTGTCTTTAAATGTAGGTTACTTAAGAAAAAAAGGGAATAAAAAAAAGGAAAAAGGGGGAATTCTTTTTCACATGGCCAAAAGTGTATACCAATGGTCACTTGTCTCTTGTAAAGTAAACAAATGAATTTCTGTTTTAAGTTCATTCATTTTCAGATTTCAAGAATGTATAAGAAAAGACACAG